ATTGAGAAAACATATATATGTCTATATATAAGTTGTACTGATGGATAAGAAGGGTTGGTGTTTCCACTCATCCTCAGTTATCATTAAGGAATTTAACAATTACTATATAAAGACTAATATAAATGTATTGTTATTTTATTAATCACTAGAAAAACTAAGAATAACATGACTTCAGTCTTTTTTAATATATTTTATTGATTATGCTATTACAGTTGTCCCATTTTTGCTCCCTTCATTACCCTCCACCCTGCACCACCTTCCCAACTGCACCCTTCCCCATGTAGTTCATGTCCATGGGTCATACATATTAGTTCTTTGGCTTCCACATTTCCTAAACTATTCTTAACCTCCCCCTGTCTATTTTCTACCTTCCATTTATGCTACTTATTCCCTCTACATTTTAACCCATTCTTTTCTCTCCTGATCCCTACTGATAACCCTCCATGTGATCTCCATTTCCGTGAATCTGTTCCTATTCTAGTTGTTCGCTTAGTTCATTATTATTTTTGTTTTTCTAGGTTCTGTTGCTGGTAGTTGTGAGTTTGTTATCATTTGACTGTTTGTATTTTTATATTCTTTTTCTTAGATAAGTCCCTTTAACATTTCATATAATAAGGACTTGGCGATGATGATCTCTTTAATTTGGCTTTAGCTGGGAAGTACTTTATCTGCCCTTCCATTCTAAATGATAGCTTTGCTGGATAGAGTAATCTTGGATGTAGGTCCTTGCCTTTTATGACTTCAAATACTTCTTTCCAGACCCTTCTTGCCTGCCATGTTTCTTTTGACAAATCAGCTGACAGTCTTATGGGAACTCCTTTGTGGGTAACTATTTTTTTCTCTTGCTGCTTTTAAGATTCCTTATCTTTAATTTTGGATAATGTAATTATGTGCCTTGGTGTATGTTTCCTTGTGTACAATTTCTTTGAGACTCTCTGAGCTTCCTGGACTTCCCAGAAATCTATTTCTATTACCAGATTAGGGTAAGTTCTCCTTCATTATTTTTTCAAATAAGTTTTCAATTTCTTTCTCCTTCTCTTCTTGTTCTGACACTCCTATGATACTGATATTGGAATGTTTAAAGTTGTCCCAGAGGTTCCAAAGCCTCTCCTCATTTTTTTGAATTATTGTTTCTTCATTCTGTTCTGGTTAACTGTTTATTTCTTCTTTCTGGTTTAAACCATTGATATGAGTCCCGTTTCCTTCTCCTTACTGTTGGTTCCCTGTACATTTTACTTTCCTTTACTTTTCATAGACTTCACTTTTTCCTCTATTTCTCAACCAGTCTCAACCAATTCTGTGAGCATCCTAATTACCAGTGTTTTGAACTCTGCATCTGATAGGTTGGCTATCTTCATCACTTAATTGTATTTTTTTCTAGAACTTTGATCTTTCATTTGGGCCATATTTTTTGTCTTTGGGCCATAGTAAGGTGTGGAGCCTTAGGTATTCGCTAGGGTAGGGCAACCCATGTTATTGCATTGTGGTGCTGTATGTGGGGGACAGGTCCAAGAGGGAACATTGCCCCTTGCTCAGCTTTTGGCTGGCTTCCAGTCACTTCCCCCACTTCCCACAAGCAAACTGTGCCCTTCTGGTGCTGATTCCCAAGGGTGGGGGTGGTTTTGTGTATGTTCCAGGACCCTGTGGGTCTTTCCAATAAACTTTCCTGTGAGGCTGGGAGTCTCTCCCACCACTGCAACCCCAACAGGTTTTCTCAGTCAGAGGTTTTGAGGCTTTATTTCCCCATGCTGGAATCCTATGTTGCTCAGTCTGTCTCACTCCCCTGCTGTTCCTCCCAGTTTATCCACATGTTCTGTCCACCAGCCGCTGCCTTGCTGCAAGTTCTTTGTGCCCTGGCTGCTCACTTCTGCCCCCTCCTACTGGTTTGAATGTTTCTTCTTTAATTTCTTGTCAGACTTCCATACAGTTCGATTTTCTGTCAGTTCTAGTTATTCCTTATTTTTAAATTTGTTGTCCTTCTTTTGGTTGTGTGAGGAAGCACAGTGTACCTACCTACACCTCTGTCTTGGCTAGAAGTCACATTATGTCAGTCTCCATTCTATTTTTTATTGTTTATTTTATTTTAAACGCATTTTATTTCATTGACAATTCCTTGAAACAAAATTTTTTTAAAAAGCAAATCAAATTGCAAGCTTTTAGATACATTATCAGTTAATAAAATACAGTCTTACTGTTGGTGCATTTTGTGTTGTAAAAAGTTGGTAGAGTTCTATTCCAGTATGAGCCCAACCCAGATAGCATTCCATCAGATTGTCTACTAACCAATAATAAAGCACTGAGCAAAATACCTACAAAATCAGCCAAGAAAAACCACAAGTAGTTTAAACACATTTAAATTCAACAGGTAGGAGTAAAAGCAAAATTACACGTAAAAACATTACTGAAGAGAAAATAATGTATTTATGAAGTTCTGATATATATATTAAATCAATACTTATTGAGAAACTGGAATGTAGAAAATATCCTAAACATCTTTGTTTCTGAACATGCCATAACTATTCTTCTGTGAAGTTAGAGTGGGGAGTCTGATTTGATATTATTTCAGAAAGTGAAGTGGACCAAATAACCCATATTTTAAAAGTGTAACCAAGTAATTCACAGCATTTTGACGAGTAACCATGTGGTAGGAATACAATGTTAGTATTCAATTGCCTCTGTCAGGCTTGGGGAAAAAAACCCCAGCAACAACAAAAACAGTAATTGCAATGCAAAATGCAAGGTGATTTAATAGATGTGTATGAGAAATTATCAGGGAGCCTGAGGGGGAGAAAAGTTTCTAAAGTTTACTGAAGACCTACAGAGCTCTTTCTGTTTCCAGTGTACATTCTATGTCATCTCATTTAAGAGCCTTCGGAATAGAATGGGAAAGTTATGTATTTCTGCAAGAGCGATGAAGAATATTCAATAAATAGAATTCATGTAACCTTCCAGAAGTTAAAAACACTAGCAAATTATAGATCCAAGATTAGAATCAGGTCATCTGATTGCAAAAGTGGCTCTTTCCAACAATCCACAAGGCATGTACCAACCACACTGAAGGTATCCAGGCCTTCACCATGATTGAGCAACACTTAGGGGATGTTCTCTATGCCTCGTATATAATTTTACAGAAATAAATGGATGGATGGCTCTGCACACACAGCAAGCACAAAATCTGCACAGATTTTTGGTTGTCAGATTTGGGCATGTTTATCTATATTCAAATACAGAGAGAAATTCTGACTCTCATCAGGAAGTGATAAAGTGTTCCTGATTATGTGGATAGACAGACAGGCAGGCAAGCAGATGGAGATACATTTGACATAAACACCAGGCGTCATCATTCTAAGCATTTTCCATGTAGTGTTTATTTGATCATTGTAACATTCCTACAAGGGAAGGACAGTTTTGCTTTCAATATTACAGGAAAAATAAACTGAGCAGCAGAGAGTTTAGGCAACTTTCTGAATGTCACACAAGTAATAAATGCATTTGAGCCTGTACAGAGTCAATATGTGTATATACAATTATTATTTTTAATGATTTGTGCATAGGTTTTCTATAAAAATGAGAAAGGACATAATTCCACAAAAATAACATGGAGTTCTACCATGTGGTAGCACTCAATATGCCATGTGACATGTTTTTCTTGTTTGAGCAAAATAAAAATATTTTGCTGATTTCGTGATGCTCTTTTTATGGGTGAGTCAATTTTTCTTTCCCTTCCCTAAACGAACAAGTCTATCTAGTTATCTCCTATCAAAACAAGTGTGAGTTTGCTCATTCTCTTTCTTGTTTATCACATTTGGTGTGATTGTCCCAGACCTACGTGACAGTCGGCATGACAGTAAGTTTCACTAGCTGAGTGAGAATAAAGGAAAAAAATTTAAAAAACAAAAGACAGGACAGCTTAAGAATAACCAGAGACATTGAAATTAAGAACAAACTGACAGTAACTAGAGGGGAGGTGGGAGGTGATAATGGGGAAAGGGAAAAGGGTTTTCAGGGACATCTATAAAGGCACATGGACAAAACCAAAGGGGGGTGGGATCAAGGGTGGGAAGTGGGGATGGCTGGGTTGGGGCAGAGGGAGGGGTGGCAGGGGGGAATGGAGACAACTGTACTTGAACAACAATTTTAAAAGTTTTTTAAAAAGAATTCTGGCTGACTTATTTACTTACAGAGGAAAACTACAAAAGTAAGTGAGGCAGGGGAAGCATTTCTGTAAAGCAATAAAAGATTTAGGAGAAATGTAGAGTATTGTATCTACAAAGCGAGGGCATGAGCTTGTGCATATGAAGACATTTGGTGTAAATTTTATGGTATGTGTATTCTATCCCAATATGAGTGTTTTTTCATGTACTTTTATAGAAAAGAAAGAAGCTGGTGGCCACGGTTTTGTCCCGTCCTGTAATGAAGAAGGTTTTCCCCGTCTCGGCCTGCCCAGCCCAAGGATGGGTAGAAATAGCTAACACCTGGCAGACACGAATAAAGATATATCTAAATAATCGAGCACATGCCCTCTCTTGCAGAATTTTTGGAGCAAGATGGAGAGTACAAGCATTAGCTGTTGCCGGAGGCTGTGGTGATTCTGTGGTGTCACAGGAAAAGTAGTTTAGAGACACTGGCAAAGAGGAGGTCAGCGATAGTGGCAAGATTCGAGTGAGAAGTGGCAAGAGACACTACACTCTCGCAGAGGCAGAGAGCAGGCCAGCTACGGGTCCTTGCTAAGACTGCATATATTTCCTTGGGTTTGGGGGAAGGAGAAGGCTTTCTTTCCAACTATCCAATCTCCTTCTTGGCCTGTCCTGGGTCTGTGCTGGTGCCTTCCCTCTCTCCGATCTGTTTCCCCGACTTTCCCAGGTTAGTGTCCACTTGCTTTTCATGGTCCGGTTTTGGCTCCTACTGCTCTTGCCTCGTAGTTCTGAGTCATCTTTCTGGGCTTCTACTGTGCATGCGCTCAGCGGGAAGTATTTTAGGTAACTTTCTTTCTCTCCCAGATAATACGGAGCAGCAATTTGCGTTACCCCCTGGGTGGCCGTAAGGTTATCTTTCCTGGCAAGTTGACGAAGTAGGATCTAGTCCAGAGCAATGGGTGAGTCTGAAACTACTGCTTCTCAACGTTATCAGGCCTTGTCTGCTCCCTTCTCCGTGGTGAATAACTGACTGCCTGCTCTGACATTACCGTTTCATTATCTGTGATATTTATTTCCCTTATTTCATTGTTCTGATTAGATACATGACATCGTATACCTTTGAAAAATCTATTTTCTTTCATCTTAGTTTGTAAATGTTTTAGTTTACTGGAACTGCCACCAGAAAGCGTGACAAACCGGGGAGCTTGAACATGGATTGTTTGTTGTGTCACAGTTCTGGAAGCCAGATGTCTGCAACCGAGGTGTTCGTAAGACTGGCTCCTTGTGAGAGCTGTTAGGAAAGGAAGGGTCGGGTCCAGCCACTGTCCTTGGCTTGCAGGTGGTTGTCATCCTGTCGATGTGACATTTCGGCCTGCATGCAAGTCTGTCATCAAAATTTTCCCTTTTTAACCATCATTTAAACATTTAAAAAATGATAGTTAATATGCAATATACAATATTATGTTACTTTCAGGTATACAACATACGGATTCAACATTTATATGCCTTATGAAGTGATCACCGCAACAAGTCTAGTAGCCATCTGTCACCATACATAGTTATTATGATGTTATTGATGCTATTCCCTGTGCTATACTTTATTATTTTATAACTGGAGGTTTGTACTTCTTAATCTCCCTCCTTTTTGACATCCAACCCCCACCCTTTGAGAAACCATCAGAAATATTTAAAGATTGGGGTAATTACTTACTGAGATACATAAATACCTCATCATTATGTCGTTGAAAGGAACAAAATTCTGCCACTCTGAAGCTGCTTTTGGGGATATTGATTTTAAGCTACTTATTAAGAAACAAAAGTCTCAGAAAGAAGCTTTGACACTCCTTATCTTCCTGCCAAAGAGATTCAGACAGAGAAACCTACTTCACAAAGGAGAGCTTAGGATGTCATTTTAGCCTAATTTCAATTAATCATAGTAAACAAGATGGCTTCTCACAGGTGCCTATTAGCTTCATCCCCACCCATGTCTCGTCGTTTCTGAGTTTCCTAGGAAGGATTTTCTTGCCTTGTGCAACTGCTTTTCCTTAACTACTTATAAATTGTCCATATTCACTTCTGATATCTAATAATTCACTTCCCTTTCTCCTCCTCATTAGACATTATCCAAAATGTCTTATATACCTAATGTTGCCCCACCATCTAGTGCTACCTCATTAATAGACTTAAAAAGTAAAACCACATGATTATTCAATAAATGTATACAAAGTATTTGGTAACATTCACTGTCTATCTAAGATCAACTCTCTTAGGAAACTAAGAACAAGAGAATACATCCCTAACTTGCTAAGGTTATGTGTTAAATTTGTACAGCATTTTTATGTTGCTTAATAATGAAGTTTTTTAAATTATATTTTATTAATTAGGCCATTAAAGTTGTTTTAATTTTCTCCCCTTGCCCCCCTCCTCCTAGTACTCCCCACTCCCTCAGGCAATTCCCACACTATTGTTCATGTACATGGATCATGCTTATAAGTCCTTTGGCTACTCCATTTCCTAAACTATAGTTTACATCCCCATGGCTATTCTGTAGCTATGTGTACTTCTAATCCCCTCACCTCTTCACCCACTCCTTTACACCCCCTTCCATCTGGCAGCCATCAAAATGCTCTCCATGTCCATGATTCTGTCTCTGTTCTTCTTGTTTGCTTAATTTGATTTTTAGATTCAATTGTTGATAGATATGTATATATTTCCATTTTATTGTTTATAATTTTGATTTTCTTCTTTTTCTTAAATTCATCCCTTTAACATTTTATATAATAATGGTTTGGTGATGATGAAATCCTTTAGTTTTTTTCTTGTCTGGGAAGCTCTTTATCTGCCCTTCAATTCTAAATGATAGCTTTGCTGGTTAGAGCTATCGTAGCTGTAGGTCTTTGCTTTTCATGACTTTGAGTATTTCTTGCCAATCCCTTCTAGCCTGCAAGTCTCATTTGAGAAATCAGGTGACAATCTTACAGGAATTCCCTTGTGGATAACTAGCTTCTTTTTTCTTGCTACCTTTAATATTCATTCTTTATCTTTAAACTTTGGAATTTTAATTATGATGTGTCTTGGACTGAGACTCTTTGTATCCATCTTGTTTGGGACTCTCTGTGCTTCCTGGATTTGTATATCTGTTTCTTTCACCAAATAAGGGAATTTTTTTCATTACTTTTTCAAATAGATTTCCTATTTTTTCCTCTTTGTCTTCTCCTTCTGGCAGCCCTATGATGCTAATGTTGGACCTCTTGAAGTAGTCCCAGAGGCTGCTTATACTATCCTCACTTTTTGGTTCCTTTTTTCCTCTTATTGTTCCGATTGGCTGTTTTTTTGTTTTCTTATGTTCCAAATCCTTGATTTGATTCTCGGCTTCATCCACTCTACTGTTGTTTTCCTATGAATTGTTCTTTCAATTAGTGCATCCTTTGTTTCTGATTGGATCTTTTTGATGCTGCTAAGGTCCTCACTAAGTTTCTTGAGGATCCTTCTAAACAGTGCTTTGAACTCTGGCTCTGATAAATTTCTTATCTCCATTTTTTTTCTTCTTTTTTGGAGCTTTGAGCTGTTCTTTCATTTGGGCCATGTTTTTTTTGTCTCATTTTGGCAGACTGCCTGTGTTTGTTTTTATGTATTAGATAGAGCTGTGATGACTCCTTGTCTTGGTAACATGGTCTAATGTAGCAGGTGTCCTGTAGGGTCCAGTGACACAGCCCCTCCTATCACCCAAGCTGGGTACTTGAGGTGTGCCCTTAGTGTGGGCTGAGTACACCTTTCTCTTATAGTTGAGCCTTGGTTGCTATTGGAAGATCAATGGGAGGGATTTACCCAGGATAGTCAGATGTAATGATCAGATGTGACCACTGACCACCACCCTCTGCCCTCCATGGAAAATCAGCTGTGCAGGGGCAGGGTGATGGTACTCTGATGTGGTCTGTAGCTCTTCACTCGGTGCACAGGCCCTGGGTTTTCTCTGGTGGTGTGGGCCAAGGTCAGCCCCAACCTTTGTTTTGCCTGGGGCCACTCTGCATGAGCTGTAAATCAATCTGAGATGGTTGCTACTTGTGCTGGACTTGGAGATACCCAGGTGAAGCCAAGCTGTGAATCTAGTCTGCCTGCTGCTAGTGCCATGCCTGGGGCTACTTAGCAAAAGGTATGGAGGCCGGCAGCTCATTGGTACTGGCTGTTGCTTGCTTGAGAGGATTTAAGAAGTTGTGAAGTATGAGTCAAGACCAGCCATTCATATGGATAAGCCACTGTTAAAAGCTGTAAATTGGGTAGAATGGAGCCTCAGGGGATCTCCCAGGCAGGGCAAACAGTGTTAGCCAGGTTGATGGAGTCTCAGATATGGCACCAACCTGCTGGCTCTGTAGCTCTGTGGGGTGAGGAGGGTTCGGAGAAGGGACAATGGCCTGTTTTTCTTGTCTGGGAGAAAGCTGTCCTGCAGCTCTTGCCTTGATGCCAGACACATCTGTTCCTCTCTGTATGCCACTCATGCCAAGCTGCTACCCCAGTGCTGAAGCTCAATGGCAGGGAGACTGAGCAAGTCTGTGTTTGGGTTTTTTAAGAGGAATTGCTTGGGACTCCTGAAGTTTCTTCCGCCAACTCAATTCCTGCTGATTTGTGTAGCCAGAAGTTATGGGGACTTCTTGTCACTGGAGCTGAGCTGGGGGGCCTGGTATGAAGCTGGGACTCCTTTCTTCTGAGATACCCCTCCCAAATTTGTATCCAGCACACACTGATGTGGGACCAGTTCATTCCACATCTCTGTCCCACTACCAATCTGGATGGATGTAGTTTCTTTAATTCCATAGTTGTCAGACTTTCATTCAACCTGATTTCTCATGGTTTTGAGTGAGAAATCATGGTTATACTGTAATTTAGTTGCAATTTTGATGTGTTTGTACAAGGAGGCAAGCCATGCTTACCTATGCCACCATCTTGAGCAGAAGTTCAATAATGAAATTTTATACAGATTTCATGATAGCAAACAGTAGACTCTTGGTTATTGGTACTGGGTTTTTTTTTTTGGTCTGTGTAAAATTTTTGTTATTTTTGTTCAAGTACAGTTGTCTCCATTTTCCTGACACCACTTTCCCCCACCTCCCACCCTCAATCCTCCCCCCTTTGGCTTTGTCCATGGGTCCTTTATAGATGTTCCTTGAAGACCCTTCCCATTCTTTCCCTACTGTTTAACATGGTATAACATTAGCAGTTGTGAGGGGAGATACAAGAAAAGCAAAGGAAATAAAAGTTGCTTCTGTTGTTATTTCTTTTTATGTAATCAAAGTATTTGAAATATTGAGATGTATTTCTCCCACTAGAATCATTTTCCCTTTTACTGTGGTCATGAAACTGAAGGAAACCAGAGTGTGTCACCCCAACGTATGCTTTTTGACATAGAAATTATTTTGAGTTGAAGGCAATTAAGAAGCAGTAAATGCAGGAGAAACTCACTCTACCCTTTACCCTCTTTTCTGCCTAAGGACAGAATATAAATCCTCCCTTTATTGGAAACAGACACTTATCAGCCAGAGGACAGTACACCTTGCTCTATTAGTTCCCTCCTGAATGATTTACCTTCCCAGAGTTGCCACTTTGGGAAGCCTGAAACTGCTTTTCCCTTGTCCTATCATTTCTGTACAGATTAATGTATTTATTTATTTTTGTTGAAAATGCTATGTAAACCAGAGTTCTAAGCCACCACTTTGAAGTCCTCTTCCTTTAGGTTTCTCTCTTGTAACGTGTCCCACACCAGTTAATGACCTGTTTTACTCCTGTCAATCTATTTTTTGTTCATACCAGCTGGAAATCTAAGAAAGATGGGTAAAGATTTGCCTCTCCTACAAAACCTAGTAACTTTTCTCAGTTTTCACTCACTAGGTCTGCTCTGCTCTTTTTGATTTTTTCTTCAAGTTTTTAAAATGTATTTATTTCATTAATTGATTTATTTTTATCCTCATTTGAGGACATTCTTTGAAGATTTTTTTGCATTTTCTAAAATTTTATGGTTGTTCAACTACAGTTGTCTGCCTTTTACCCCTACCTCTCCCCTCCACCCATCCTCACCTCCCTCCCCTGATTCCAAACCACCACCCCACTTGGTTTTGTCCATGTGTCCTTTATAGTTGTTCTTGAAAACCCTTCCCCTCCCCCCCCCATTATCCCCTCCCATCTCCCCTCTGGTTACTGTCCATTTGTTCTTAATTTCAATGTTTCTGGTTATATGTTGCTTGCTTGTTTGTTTTATTGATTAAGTTCCATTTAAAGGTGAGATCATATGGTATTTTTACCTCACTGCCTGACTTATTTCACTTACAATAATGCTCTTCAGTTCTATCTATGCTGTTGCAAAGGATAGGAGCTCCTTCTTTCTTTCTGCTATATAGTATTCCATTGTGTAAATGTACCATCGTTTTTTGATCCCTTCATTTACTGATGGGCACTTAGGTTGCTTCCAGCACTTGGCTGTTGTATATTGTGCTGCTATGAACACTGGGGTGAATAGGTTCTTTTGGTGTTTCAGGATTCCTAGGGTATAATCCTAGCAGTCGAATTATTTTTTCTGATATTTAAATATGTTTGTGTGTATACACATTGTACATACACATTCTTCCTCCATTATTTCTACATCTGCTAATAATGTGTCAGACAAGATTCTCCTAATCATTAATAGAATTATTACTGTTTGTTTCTAGCCTCCTAACATTTTTATGAGAACCAAATCTCATCTTCTCTCTAATTCATTCTCCTCACCACAAAATACTGCTTTTATTTTTTATTGACATCCTCTTGCTTGAATGCATTAAGTATCTTCCCCTTATTGCTTACAGTATAAGGAAAATAATTTTATCCCACATTTAAGTTCTCTTGTCACATGACCTTATGATTCCTTTCTTCCCTATCTTTTGTTTTTATAAATTGATGTGTCTGTTATAGTCATTTGTCTGATCACAGCCCTTTTTAATTTTTTTAATCCTCATCTGAGGACATTTTTTTCATTGTAGAAAGAAAGGAACGAAGAGAGAGAAGCATCAGTTGGTTGCCTCCCTCATCAACCTGTACCAGGGAATGGACCCACAACTTCAGTATGTGCCCTGACCAGGAATAGAACCTGCTTTGCTTCAGTTATAGGACAACAGTCCAACCAACTGAGCCACACTGGCCAGGGCCAGTCATAGACCTTTCGATGACCCTTATACTCACTTGATTAGAATCCCCATTCACATTGTTTCCACCTTTTGAAACAACTTTGCATTTCCTCCAGCCTCCACTAAGTCTAAGTGATCTCCCCATCCCCCACCACCCTTCTGAACAGCTATACCAGTCATTGTCATTTACCTTCTTTGCACTTCGTAAGGCCATTTTATCTTTCATTACTTTAAGAGATAGATGCTTTTAATGAGAGTTTCTTGGCTGATTATTATAAAAGAATAAATAATAATAAATATCTAGTCATAGTTTCTCTGGAAATTTTGTTATGTTTATTTATTTTACAGGTCGCAAGTGGATGGCTTTTACACTCATCATTTTTAGTACTGTTCTAGTGGTCTTTATAATAATAGGTGAGTGGATTAATTCATGAACTCTCTGTGGTTATTTATGGTTACCAGGCCCAAACATTATCTCTCAAGTTCTATGTGGAGTCTCTCAGTTCTAGAGTAATAAATAGGTTTGTAGAGATTTTTTCCTTGGGTTCCTATCAGTTCAGCAGGTTTTACAGTCATTTTCTTGACATTATAGGGGTGCTTGATCTTGGAGTAAAATGATTGTATATTCTCAGACAATAACCAGACAGCAACATCAATAACTATTTTTTTAACGAGAGTACTTTGTATGAGTTGAAGAGCTAATATCAAATATGTTACATTTAATGTTTACATTCAATTCTCACAAGACTACAAAATAGGTATAATTATGAATACATTTACAGACATAGAAATAGAGGCCAGAGTAAATAAGTTGCCTCTCATAAATAAATTCCGGAGCCAGAATTGTGATTCTTATGTAATTCCTGATATTTTAACCATCATGCAACACTCCCTCTATAATTACAGTTTATCTTTACTCTCATTCCTTTTGAAGCAAGAGTAAGTAATATTACTAATAGTGGTTATATGAAATGTTTATTTCTATCCTATTTTGATAAAAGAAAAAATAATAATGGAAGTGATAGTTTGCAAGATTTTCTCTGTTGGAGTAGATTTGTAAAAAAGATGTTCATTTTCTTCTGGGTATTATGGATTCATTTTGTGAAAAAAATTCAAAGCTCATTTTAATTCCTGAGCTAGGTCCTAATAGTCTTCAGTACTTGATTATCCATATATGTGCTTTGCTTAATTTAGCACTTGAATTAGCACTTAAAGTAACACTTTATACTCTTGATTCTTGTTTCCTTTGTCATTTGCAAGAGTACTGGATATACTTTTTACTCAGTCTCCTCTGTCACTGTAGAATCCTAGGAGTTCAATGTTATTGATATTTAAACATCTGAAATTTAAACATTTGTAGAGAAAGGTTTCTATAAGGAGTCTTTACATACATTGATTAATTGATTAATTCAATTTTTAAAAGTGTTGAAACACAATATATTTTATTACCCATGTGTGGTAACCTGTATCCACTTCTGCACATTACAAAAATAAATAAATAAATAATCATTGCAGAGTGTGGAAAGAAGGCTTTGAAATTTGAACATTTACTTGGCTCTTTTTAAAAAGATTTTATTTATTTATTCTGAGAGAGGGGGAAGGGAAAGAGAGAGGGAGTGAAGCATCAATATGCAGGAGAAATGTCGGTCAGTTGCCTCTACCCTGCCCCCAACCAGGGACCTGACCCACAAACCAGGCATGTGCTCTGACCGGCTATTGAACCAGTGACCTTTTGGTTTGCAGGATGATACTCAACGTGCTGAGTCACACTGCTCAGAACTCATTTGCTCTTTCTTAGTCACATTAACTTATTCAAACATTTGGAGATCAGGAACTTTGTATTATTATTACTTGGCACCTAACTCAAAACCTAAAATAGTAAATTCTGAAAACAATGTACATATAAATATATTTACTATTATTTCAGTTTCTTTGGCACTAAATTTTGTTGAAGCAGAACAAAGGTTTCACTAACTCTTACATTTCGATGATTTATCATTTATGTGAATTTCACTTTTGTAGCTCGGATATCCTCTCTTGTCTATGACCTTCTCATTTCTTCAAAGTGAAATGAAACCTTCGTTTCTTACCTTAATCTTTGAGGCTTAAATTAGATTCAGGTCTCTAGGTCTATTCCTTGATTGCCAGGTTTTATACATTGTTTTTGGTAGGATGTCAGTATAGACCATGAGAGGCTAGCAGTTCCATTTCTCAAAACGGAAGCCAGGAAATTAGGCTAAAGTATAGACTACTTGGCAACTAAATGTCTTCCTTGCAGACAGGAATTGAATTCATTCACCATTGCATGCAAGTAGTAAATTTACAGGCCTCAAACCATGGGAGTAAAAAGTAAAACTGATTCACTAGAATGAACAGAAACGTATTTTAACTTTTTAAAAATTTGATCACTTCTTTCTTTTTTTTTCAGTATGCACTACAAAACCTTTTAAAAATCCCCAAACTATAAAATGCTCAGGAAAATGGATTGGAGTAGGATATAAGTGTTTCTATTTTTCTGATGATACCAGAAACTGGACAGCCAGTAAAACATTTTGCAGGTCACAGGGATCGGAACTTGCTCAGATTGATATACCTGAAGATCTGGTAAGAAAGGAAGAAAGTTTTCAACCATTTCAGAGCGTAAGATTGTACAAGAAGAGAATAAAATTGTCAAAAGTTAATACTCAATTATGTAAGTCAGACAATGTTTTAAGCACTGAAACTATAAAAACTCATGCAATCTTCAACCAATGCCTATGAAGCAAGTATTCAAATATCCCTCTTTTAAAGGTGAGGAAAGTGAAGCACAGAGATGTTATGTAACCTAGTCATTGTCACACAGCCACAGCTTGTTGAACAAGCATTTGAACACAAGGAAGTTATCTTGTGATGGTATGTCCTTAATCACAATGCATATTGTTCATATGGCTGAAAGTCTTTGTTCAATGTTCTTAGATTATTAAATAGATTGCTTTCAATACCTTCACAATTGCATTATCAACAATAGTCTGGGAAGACTGAAACAAACTGAAACAAACAGCTGTTAGAATGTAGAAGTAAGAATATGAACAAAATCCATACAGTTTGAAGAAAACCAGATAATGAATAGAATAAGTGAAAGAGAGCAAAGAAAGAGGGACTTGGACTACAGGAGTCAAGAGAACTCAGGCAGTTTGCTTGTGAAGAAAAGCTAACAGGTCTGTGGTCTGTAGTGAGGATCCCAGAGAGGAGAGACTAAACTCATCTCTCAAGATCTTCTATTACAATAAATGATAGTCAGAAATTCACTTGATGGCTGATTCTATGAGAAAACACAACAGTGATGACATTGTTATTCTGCTATTTAGTCAAAGTACTTCATCACTGAGTTTTACTATTTTAATACTTACACTTTCGATTAAATCCTTTTCCCTATGAAATCCCACTTCTATGATTTTTGAGAGCAAAGCTGTGCACAAAACAAAATATGAGCATTAGTTCTCTGTCACCTTTTAAAACATGCTATATTAGTTCCTATTAAAAATGCTTAGCTCTTGATTCTGTCAGCCAGACAGATATAATGTCATATTCACTTATTGTCTTTGTCATTCACTCTGTGACTAAATCATACTGATAGTTTATGCATTAGAACTAGAAGGATAGGAAGTCAAATGTTTTTGTTATCAATTTTCCAAGGAAGACATTGTAGTTACCTTAAAAGATAATTCAAGTCAGGGCAGCTCAGAGAGTTTAAGAAGTAAAAGAGGAGTAAAAATCTTCCAGGCAAAAGTAAACCAAACATCTGTGCTGTTTCTTGCCATAGAAGCATTAGGGCATAGAAATTAATATGTAAATCATGAAACTGGCTGGGGTGAAAATCATGTTTAGCAGTGTGCTCTAAAATATTAAATAGACCATGCCCTAATTTTTGTGCAAGGAATTTTTGAAGAAGCACACGGGAATGATTATGCACTGGATTGGGTTGAGCAGAAACCAAGGAGAGTCTTGGAAATGGACAAATGACACCACATTCAATGATTGGTGAGTTTCAAATGTAGTAGGGAAGATCTATTGGTTGTGCACAAACTTAAGTCATTTGAGGCTGTGACACGTGCCCTTTGACACTGAAACATACCCTAGAAAGGCATAGCTTCCTTTCACCTTGTTAAATGGCAGTGGACATTTCCATTTTATTTTTGTTTCCCATTTTGTTTTTGCTTGGTCAGACTCTTGCTAATTCCCCCCCCCCCATTGCTAATTCAAATTCAACTGTTTTGCAAATCCCAAGCCAAAGCACAAGAATTACTTGCACCTTTTCCAACTACTTGAATTTATACAAGATCTTTCTTCTTTAAATAGAGACTATGTAGTTGTCTTTAACTTTCCAAACATCTATTAAAAGCAGTATTATTTATTTAAGTGTTTCTTGAGTGAATGTTTTTTCCTCACTAAAAAACCATTCACCCACAAGAAATGTACTGCTTTCTTTTTGTACACATGTATTCCTGCCTTAGTATTTCATTATGTGCTAGATAAAAATTAAATAAATACTGAAATATGTATGATAGAACAAATTAAGTTTATTACAAAAAAGAGGGGATTTTGGCCATCAATAGAACAAATTAACAAAAACATTATTATAATTAGTCATTTTGGTCTTTATTTCATTGTGTTGTAAAACTATCAAATAAATATAAATCATTAGTTTCAAAAAGGAATTCTGGCTGAAAATGGGCCAGAAAACTGCTGTTTATTTATTTAGTTACATTCTTCAATTAGTTTATATTCAGTATTATTCTGCATTAGTTTTAGATGTATAGCATACAATTGACTGTGTTCCCTATGCTATAATTTACATCTCTGCAACAATTGTAACTACCAAATTGTATTTTAATCCTTTCACCTTTTTTTCCACAAGCCCAAAAGCCCCTCCCCTCTGTCAACCATCAGTGTTTTCTGTATCTGTAGGTCTGAGGACACTGCTTTTTTAAAAAATTCCAGAGAGCTTTGAATTTTGCAATTCTAGGTAGATAAATAGATAGATAGACAGACAGATAGATAGAAGTAACTATAAATAAATGTAGATACATTTAAAGATATATTTATATCACTGATTTATCCCTGTCTATTTATATCAGTCTTTCTTCCTATTATTCTAAATAAGTTTACAGATTACACTAATAATAGATACCTACATTCAGTCTTACATTCCTGTAACATACTGGATATTTTTGTGTACTATATGACAATCTGAGTATGGAACTAGCATTTTGTACAAAACATTTCAAATCAGTCTATTCTTAATTTTATTTTTCATTACAGCTGGAAGTAGATTCAAAATGGATTTTGATTTTTATTTTTTAGGTTTGAAATTAGTGGGAATGGATTTTTTGCTTTTCTGAATGCTGATGGAGTCTCCAGTTCCAGGGGATTTGTTGATATGAAGTGGATTTGCAGCAAACCTAGATTTTAATAGAGGAAAAAACTGGGATTCATTCCTAAACCCACCCAGTCGGGGGTCCCAATGCTCACTGCCATACAGGCAAAACTCTGTAGATAGAGTTCAGTGAGAAGAAAAAGGAATATTTTTTAACAACCATACAATTTAAAATAAAGGTGACTTCTGCTCAAGAAGGCAGCACAGGCAGATGGCTCATCTCTTCACAAAACCACAACAAAAGTACAACTAAAATGTAGAATAACCATCACTCAGGAACATCAAAAATCAAGCTGAATGGTAGTATAACCATAAAATCAAGTTGAATGTAAATATGACAACTACAGAATTAAAGAAATCACATCTATCCAGACTGGGAGGAGTGCAGACATGGAATGGGCTGATCCCACACCCACGTGTATAAAAATTCAGAGTGGATATCTCAGGAACGAGGAGTCTCAGACCGAAACCAGGCCCCTCAGCCCAAGATTCCAGTGCCAGGAAGGTGAGCCCCCACAACTTCTAGCTGCAACCCAGTGGGGACTGAGTCCATGGAGGAGGCTGCTGGATCCCCAAGCAGTTCCTCTTCAACAAGTGCTCCTAGCTAGGCAACATCCAGGCCTGGATGGGGTGGCCAAGACTAGCCAGGGTGCAAAGCACAGACCAGCTAAGCACCTTCCCACACATCTGTGTGGTATGTCTGAGGCCCTGCCCAGGGGGTCAGAATTTGGAACCAGCAAGTTCAGAAACAACCTACCCTTGCAAACACATTAAGATCCCAAGAACTGACACTGTCTCACAAGTTCACTTGTACCCACTCTGGGACAGCCAGTCCCAGGCTCAACCTTTGATCCTACCACCAGGAACCCAAGTTCTATCTAAATAAAACTTGCTTTTCTTCTAACTCAGACTGGTTTTTGAATTTTTTCCTGCCTAAGTCAAGAGCCTGAAGGTCCCAGACTGTGCTAAGGTTGGGCCAACTCAGCTCAGAACTGGTCTGGTAACAAAAAGAACTAAAAATTGTTGAATGAATGCATGAATGATTATAGGCAAAGCCTCATCAGTTGAAAACACAAAATTGCCCATTATGAACACAAGTCAGGAAAATGTTATTAAACAAGACCAAAGTAATAAACAATTAGATGCCCTATGACTGCACTGATAGTTATAAAAAGCAAATTTAAATAGATCTGTATTGATAGGTCAGCCAAGACTTAGAGCTTAAAAGTTAGAGAAATATTAAGTGCTGTGCTCCATATGTGTAAATATTATAAAATACTAAACATAGTGACTTTAACTTTGTCCTAAAAACAAGGCAAAATCCACCAGGAAGGAAACTAAGTCTATAAATAGCAATCACTAATAAATAATTAGAATTATACATTAAAATTACAAAGCTTAGACTATGGAGCATAAACTAGAATAACATCAAAAGTGACCAAACAATAGGTTTTTCTAAACATTTAATTTTATAAGTAAGGATGGGAAATAGGATGGGCTTATGACATATGCCTGGGTGTGTCATAAAATTCAAATTCTGCAGAGCATTTGAAAAATTATATTAAATCTGTGTTTGTTACATTAACTTGGGTTTAACTTTCCTTCCTAAATTAACTTTCCTTCCTAAATAACCACAATCATGAGTACAAGAAGGAATCTGAGCGGAAGCGAAGAGGCAGATACTTAATCAGAGTGGAGAATCTGGAGAAAAAGGGAGTACCTAACTTGCAGGGCCAACACACACACATGAATCTTTTTATATCTTTAGCTAAGGCTTAATTCCTTAATTGCATGTGAAATGTTCTGATAAATGAGAGTTTTATGAGCCCCACCCATCATTGCTTTTTCCTGGCATTTTGTGTGACTGCAAATGACTTAGTAATCCTGGCAAATGTCAGCATGTAATCAAGTACAGACATTCTGCATCTGTGCATCATGTTGTAACTGAGAAAACTTGAAAATGATCATTTTTAGACACCATTGTACATTACTGGTCAATGCATTAAAGTTTGGTTCATAATATAGGTTTATTTTTTTTTAATTTTTAATTTTTTTTAAGATTTTATTTATTTATCTTTAGAGGGGAAGGGAAGGAGAGAGGGAGAGAAACATCAATGTATGGTTGCCTTTCATGCATCCCCTGCTGGGAACTGGCCTGCAGGGAACCGGCCTGCAACCGGGGATGTGCCCTGACTGGGAATCGAACCGCGATTGTCTGGTTCGCAGGCCCGCTCTTAATCCACTGAGCTACACCAGCCAGTAGGTTTATTTTTATCACTGGTTCATGGTTACAAGTAAATGTTGTTAATTGCTTAGTAATTTAGACTAACTCATCCTTTTTTTTTGTTTGACTCACAGTTACTAGGATATAAATTCCTGATGATTAAGAATGAAATACATGCAACTTCTTGAAGTTAAATAACTACCCCACTTACACAGTGGCTGCAAACTGCTGCATTTATTTTAAAATATGAATGTGTTTTGAATAAATGAGAGGAAAAATAAAAAACTTTACTTTTGATAGAATTTCAGTTAGAAAATGGAGTAGGACAGTTCTCAATATAATATTAAAAATAAATTTTATTAAAAGAAAATAAATTGTATAATCATATTAGAAACAAGATCATATATTATTTTATTATATTTTTAAAGAATTCTGGAGCCTCTAAACCATTGCTGGGCCAGTAAGTTACTGGCTGTTGCGAGAGCAAATTTTTTCAGCTTACCAATGCTTCCATTGCCAATGGAAATAAGAACAAAATTGGCTGCTTTTCTGGGAGCTAATTAGACTTAAATTTCCAAACCAGTGACAGAATAAATAAATTGCATGTGCCTTTGTGCACGCCATTTCCTCTGTCTGCAAAGCCTTTCATCTCCTCCACTTCAAGACAAAGCTCTTGACACTGCAGGTTGATTTCCCCAGGTGGAAGTTATCAGTCAGTCCCTCTCCTGAAATCCTACAGTATTTTGCCTCTACCATCTACTGTTGTACCCTCATGATCATGTATTTCTTTAAATAGGCATCTTATGCTTACAACATCTGAATACTTTTATTACCAGCTGAAAGGTTGATTTCTTTTTGATAAAAATTGAAAACAGTTGACTTGGGGTGAAGGCCCAGCATAAAGAAAAAGAATGGCATATTTGTATCTGTTTGCCTGGCCTTGCCAAACGCTGAGAAAGAGAACCAAGGAATAGGACACACAGGAATAGACAGGATTAGAAAAAGATTCAATTTAATTATTTTTTAGACATTCGGGCAATAGGGAATTATGTCTTGTTTAAAAGTAAATTATGGTATTTTTCATTTGAAGTCATTTCTTTGTAAAATATTAGAAAATTTGATATTTTAATTTAAAATACAAATTTGTATTCCTCTAAAAAATGGATAGTCGATGTTAACATCCATACATACACATTTCTTCCAGTTTCTTATTTAACTGCCTGGATTTTCTGTTATTGTTCAGACAACATCTGGCAAATGACATAAAATTGGAGTCACAGTCTTCAGAACTCACTCCATTTCCTGTTGTGAGAGAGCAGCTCATGCTATCAGTTGGTCCAATTATCAAAAAGCTAGAAGACAAAGGGCAAACTGTAGAGAATTTGTCTTATAATAATAGTTGCATTTATTAAAGTTTTCTACAGCCAAACTTGTATAGGTAACTCCTCAGCAGCCAAAATGTTTCAGAGGTTTTCAAATGGATGCTTTTATTGTTGCCAATGATTATAGTTGGTCACTCTTGATTTGCTTGCCCTCCAAGCCCCCCCCACACCTACCCGAATGTCTCTCTTATTTGAGTAACATCAATACAGAGCTTCCAACTTGAAGACTAGAAGCATCCCTGTCTCTTTCCTTCCCAATTAACTCTTGCCTTACCTATGTCGGCAAGTCCCGGGAATTCTATCCCCAGGTAAGGTCTCATATTCATTCACTTCTAGCTCATGCTACTGGTACCTCTCCCTTATCTCTGGTCATTGTCTTCTAACTAAACTTCAGTTTCAACTTTGCTTCCCATATATTAATTTTCCACATAGCAGCATAAATAACTTTCTTTAAAAGGTAATTAGATGTTAAAATGAAAGTTTTGGTAAAGACTGCATCATGAAAAATATCTTACACCAAAGATAATTATAAAGCAGTAATCTAGGAAAAAATTTCTTTCTAAAGTTAAAGTAAAAACTATGAAGATGACAGCTTCCTTATTTAACTTCCATGGTGTGATAGGGTTAGAAAAATGTATGGACCGAATATTTTATGAGAAATCTATTTTCTTAACTATTGTGTTAGTTACAAATTATTGTTTAAAATATAATCAAACACTATTGTAGCCACCTGAACATCATTTTTGTTAAATAATTAATTTAAAAAAATTTTTAAAGTCATGCATTGCCCTAACAATATCTTGGTTTCAAATTTTTTAAAAAGAGCCTACATATTTCTTATTAATTTTTTCAAAGACTACCATCAAAATAGGTCCAAAAAAATGAACAGTACTTCATGCTTTAGTTTTATATTCATGAAAGATAATGGATAGTAGAAGGATAAATAGCCAGACCGACATGAATGGTCACACCATGACCTTTGCTCTAACTTGCCAGGTCTCCGGGGCTCTAATAGCGCGATGTGTGAAGCAAAAGAGAGCACAGAGGAGAATGGGAAAATGTACATAACACTTAGGAATTTTAAAGCACTCTTCCACCTACTACGTTAGATTGTTCACACAAGAACATTGTGAGGGAAGTTTTACTCTTCTTTTCATACAAATGAACAAATTGATATCAACAAGTTTTGGAGAATTTTGTAAGGGCAAAGTTTTAAATCCATACTTCCTGATATCAGCTCAAGGGATAGTTTACATATTCTGGGTGCTTTTATTTGTAAGTGAATTTTATTTTTGCAGTTAATATATAAAAATATTTGCTTCAAATTATTTAAATAAGGTTCAAGTGAGATTAAAACAGATTTCTTCATCTGTTTTTGACAATGATTTCCAAATGCCATAATGAATACTTTCTAACCCTATTCTCAATATTACTGAATGTTAAGAAAGGAGGAAGAAGAGAAAGAAAGAAAGAAAGAAAGAAAGAAAGAAAGAAAGAAAGAAAGAAAGAAAGAAAGAAAGAGGAAGAAAGAGAGAGAAAGAAATAGAGAAGTAGGAGAAGAAAAAGAAAGGTAGAAACAAAAGAGATAATTTTAAAAAGAAGAGACAAGATGGAAGAGAGGTTACAAAAAACCTTGGAAAACAAGGCAGCTTAATTAAAAATATTTTTAAATAAATAAAAAAGCATCATCATACCATTCCCCTCCCTCAAAAAACTACTTACTTTTTTTGTTTCACAAAAGTGTGTTTATTTATCCACATCCATTGCTTTCCTGGGGGCATAATGTATAGTCCAATCCAACTAGGCTGTCCAGGTTTTAACTCTTCTGTATGAATTTCTGCAGAAGGAACAGTTCATTCATTTATTCAAAAACATGTCAATGCCTTCTACAGAGTAAGGCACTGTGCCTGGCATTAATGAAGAAGTAAATAATTATTTCTTTCCTAAATAATAGGCTTCTTATCATAAACAATAGTAATTATATTAGGGCTAATGAATGTTCAAATCGATGACTGTAAACTATCCACACATATTAGAACTGCACCTAGCAACTCCTCCTGGAGCACTTAGACCTCGTGTTTGATTCCTCACCAGCTCTCTCAAAGTGTGAATCACTGGCAAATGTGCCTGGAGCTTCATGCAATCATGTTGACTCTCATTCCAAGTTCTAGAAGAAGTTAAAAATTTGTAACACTTCCTTTGGTTAAACAGCCAGTCATTTTGGCACAT